CTTCAAGCAGGTGCAATCGTTGACTGACCAAGATTCACAGTTATCTATGGGACAATGGCTGGAACGCGCAGATCATAGGTACTTTCAGGAATCCAGTTCAGCCAAGATTGTGAGTTCATTGTTTGCCGCTCAAAGACGTGGGATGCGGGGATCCGATGCTAAGAGATGGTGCAGAATTCCGATCACCACTACATTCTGCTCAACAGATAGACTGGAGGCTCTCAATAAACTGAAAGGCAAGTTTGATTATGTGCATTCAAGAAGATTGTGGGAAGCCATAGAGTCACCGGCAGAGCTTTTCAAACAAATATTTGCCCGGCTCAACCCTGGAGGCAGCTTGCAGCTGGAGAGCATCAGCTGGTTGCCTGTCGATCGACAGTGCATCTTGTCAACGTCGTCAAAATTGGGGGCATGGTGCAGAATGCTGCAGCGTGCTATGGATGCAGGCGATGGCGGACCGGGGTATGCAGGGACTGAGGGCGACCTTGAAAAGGCTGGCTTCGTTGAAGTCTCGCAAGAAACAGTCGAGTTCCGTTTGCAGGATGATCAAAACACAGCTGGAGATTGGTTCAAGCTCGGCCTGCTCACGCTACTGAAGGCAGAAGACCTTGCGCCCTTGCCATGGTTGAAGCATTGCAGGCAAGAAATATCAGCAAGGCGCCCTGCTTTCCCGTCGTTGCCCGATCCCGTCGATGAATTTTTGGCCGCAGTCGAGAAGGAACTCGCCGAAGCCGATGTTTGTTTCCGGATGTAAGTCTCTCTCCTGACGAGACCGCTGGTCAGCAGACAGCTCATTTGCGCGCAGGATGATCTGGACGGGACGTAGACCGGATGATAGTAGTGCTTGTCTTGATCGCGGGGATACGGTCGGAGGCTTGTGGTCTAGATAGAGGCTTCGCTGCGAACGGACAATGAACGAGCATAGTGCCTATGAGAGCCTGTTACGCCGGCAATTAAATGAAAGCACCCTGTCTGTGTGGCTTTTCTTTAAAGTCCAGTGCACAAGTCTAGACAGTCGGTGGCTTCCATCAGAAACCGACCCAGCTGACGGTGAACATCCACTTAGAAGCGGTGGCATAGTTCGTGTTCTCGAACAATACAGACTTATGTTGGCAAGGTTGCAGACGCGTCGGGCGTCTCTTGCTCGGATTACTCTGAATCCGCAAACTGTTGGAAGCACCTCAAACCGGTCAAGGGGTGTTTATCTTGAGTTTTCGGGCAGTCAGCCCCAGCTAGTTCCGAGACCCACCACGGCTTGGTTAGTGGCTAGGTGCTCTGAGGCGAGATGACGAGACCGTGCACCAAAGACAGGATGTTATAAAGGCGTCGTGCTCCAGAGTAGAGAGCTGAACAGATTTGAACCATACTCCGCAGCTGTTTTCAGCAAATGATTTTCTTCAAGACAGAATATGGCGATCGGTCAATCTCCTAATGTTGAACACAAACTGAAGTCCTCAGATGACTATCATGACGCCGATATTGACCACACCAGCGAGCTCGCATCACAGATCACCGTCCACGATGACAGAACCACGAAGACAATCGACGCGTTGCGGAGACGAACGCGCTATGCTGATCTTTCGGATGTTGAGGAGGGGACACTGATTGTCTTCGATCGTTATTATAGGTTCAGAACAGCGACCTTGGCGATGCGACAGTCGGATTCAATATCGCATCACACGGAGGACGACAGCAAGAACAAAATTGTTCTCCAGGACT